GGGCTGACTTTAAGGGGGGTCTCCGCCTGAGGAACGGGTGCGGATCGGTCCCATGGAGCGGGATGTTGATTCCGGGGATGGGAATGACCGAGCGGTGGCCGCTGCGGTTGCCCCGCGCGGTGCGGTCTGTACGGTGGGAGCTCCGTGTTCGGGCTGGCTGATGAGCGTGGACGGTACCTGGCGCGACGCGGAGACACAACCGGCCTCTCCGTCAGCAAAGCGAAGGCGTGTGGGCAGAAGAAAGGAAAAAAGTGCATTAATTTAAAAAAAAATAAATGATTTGGGGAGCTGCATTCACTCTTGGGCTGCTGCAGCCACAGGTTAGTCTGGCCCGGGGGAATTTGGTGGGGTCCATCCGTGGGAAGGTGCTGGTGGAGATTCCCAAAGGGATGTTTTCCACACATGGCACCGGGCTATTTGCCTTTGCCTGACAGCGGGAGTCCCTTCCCTGGGTGTTTGTGCCTCATTCAGGGAAGCAAATCCCAGGTATCTTCCATGTACTCATCAAAAAGCCTGAAAGAGCGAATATTGAGCAGCAAGGCTTGAATTTTATTTCTGAGATCTCTTTTGCTGTGATATATTAAAAATAGTCCAGTCTGAGAACAGATCCTCATTTCATCATGTGATTTTGATTTTTGTTTTTTTTTAAGAACTTTACTCTGTGAAATGAAGGAAAATGAGGAATATGAATTTCATCTTTTTTTGTTCATTTTATGATTTTAGGGAGGATGTTGTTACACTACTTTGTTTTTTAATGTATTTACAGTGTATTCGTTGCCTAACCTTGTAAATTTTGAAATGTAACTACTGTAATCTGGAATAAATAAATAAATAAATATAAATAGTAATGAAGCGTTTCACGTTACTAAACAATATGTTAAAAGCAAAGATTCCCGCATCCTCCTTTTGGGAGCTGTTTTAGAGCGTAGCCAGTTTATGCCATTCGAACTGCACGTGCTTTATGAAATTGTAGCTCTGGATGTTGTCTTAAATAATACCAGGTTTGTATTATTTATCTAAAACATATGTTGTAGTCTTTAATGGGAAGCTGTTCTGTTTGCATCGAAGTTACTGATTTGCCTACTGTAAAATTATTTTCTGAAAGCATTTAGGATTGAGTCGGTTAGGTCTCAGGTTTTGGCATGCAATGTGCTGTCCCTAACTGCTGTAGCGAGTGGTCATCTGATCCTCAAAAATTGCATAATTCTAGAAGTCCATTTCATGGTTTGCCTGATCTTTAAGTAAATGGAATTATCGGGGTAAATCCCATCCCTAAGGCTGCAGTTCAGTTCGTTGAACTTCAGCTTTCTCAAACTGAGGTGCCCTGGCTGAGCTTACAGGGCTAGTGAAATGACTCAGACTGGTGCTAAACTCCCGTGTAGACTCCCACATTTCCTCCTCTGTTCCAGAATGAGGTTATTTGGCCCCAAAGTTCCTCTGACTTGGTGCTGTAGGGACTGTTCCCTATAGATGCCTGGTGATTGGCTACATTGGCCTGGCAAGGAATTGGGCTACATGCCCAATTTTGAGACACTTAAATAGAGTTGATGACGGGTTAATGACTAAATTCCCCTTCAGCTCCTGCCAGCTCATGTTTTCCTTGTTGTTCATATGATAAAGTGACCTAATATTGTGGTGCAGGTATAACAGCTGCGTCAGCACAGTGGTCACTGTGCTCTGTAGAGAATGATGTTTTTGATCTATACCTGAAACTTTAAGGTCGATTTTTGCAGCAGCACCGTCCCGTGCTTGTGCCATTACAATGACTTAGGGGTTATAGGAGTATCTGTGTTATAATGTAATTTAAGTCCCTGAATTTTGAGATGTGGCTCTATGAAAAGTCTACGACGGGGTAGCAAATGTGCAGTTGTGGCATTTGCTACCTTGCAAACCTAAAACTTCGTATGTATAGATGTGGATTTTTGTGCATGTGGCTTTTCCTTCAGTTGTCTTGAGTGGAATTGGTTTTGATGAACTCTGTAAATTAAGACATAATTGGGCTCTTGGAAACTTTGCCTCCGTATTGACCCTTACCTCTCAATTCTCATAAAAAATTCTCACAGTCTTTCCCTTCCACCATTAATGTTAAATGTCAACATCTATACTTTGCTGCTGGTGCTTATTAACTTTCAGCCTTGTCTTTTTTTAAGCATTTATTGCTTTAATGATGAATTAAAGCCTATTACCAGTGTACGTTAGGTTGTTGGAGGATTTGATTTTTCTTAAATATGTTGTTTAAATGACTAACCAGAGAACCTCCCTTTGGGGAGAGAGTCCTGGTTACTTGCTTATATATGTATTTATTTAAAGAGGGAATTGCAGCTTTTACATATTTAGGCATTTATTGCTTATTCCTTCTTCTATACCTGCCAAGAATCAAAGGATTTTGCTTGAGTTTTATGGCCATAAGCTTGGCCTAATTGGACATTTACTGGTGATGGGTGCAGATAGCCTCTGATTCCAAACATGATTTTGAAAGACAAGGCTGGGAAAAGTAAAAAAATAACCCTGTGCTGTGAATATTTTGTAAGTAGTCAGCTTGTTTTTTCCAGATCCTTAAGCTGGTGCCTGTTACACTGACAAATATAATTACAGGATGTAAATTATATTGAAAATATTTTTGTCCGTTTGATGCATACTAAATTTAAGCTAAGTTATAAGGTGTGCTGTTTGGAAGTGTGGAAGATACAAGAGTGGAGCTACAGATAACAAGTTTATGCTTGTATTTCCTACTGATGAAGACTTTCACACAAGTTATTTCTATGGGTAGGTGATAAGAATATCACTCTGCATGTATATACATTTATTATACATTTTTGCATGATTATACATGTAGGAGTGGTACAATTTTGACTTGAGACTATTGGGGCTTTTTGTCCAAATAGAATTTTACTTGCTGTAGACCTGTAATCTAAATTCATTTTTGCTTCTGCTTTTGGAGATTTTAATAAGAAGGGAGAGAAACAAAAATCTGAAGGATTCATATATAGCTCCAGAAATTTTAGATAACCTGCTGTAAAAAAATGGTCAAATAGTCAATATTGTACTTGACCCTCGTATCTTCTGCACTCAACTGTTTATTTTTATAGATCACACAATATATGTTCACGCTGAACTTTGATGATGAGACTGAAAACATTCCCCTCCCTGTTTCAGTCCTGTTGTAGCTTCTGCATGTAATTGAGTCACAGATTGCTCAAATAATTAACCGAGTTTAATTTTAATTTTAAACTTGGTCTTCCATTATTTTGTAATTGTCTTTACAAAGCAGAAAATTGTCTTTCAGTTAATGATCTGGATTTTTTTTTCCCCAGTCATAGTCATCAGTGTTTCATGTTGTGAACAGTTTGGTCTTCAATACATTGACATATAACTACCCATTTATTTTTGTTGGGTCTGTTTCAAGTTTGTAAAATAACATTGTTTTCTGAAATTGTTAATTTGGAGGCAGGACTGATTTGCAGTATTTTGTGTATTTCCTCATACCTGGTTGCAAAACTGATCTTTAGTACAACTTAAGCAACATGGTCACTCTTTAATGAAGTGTGTTGCTAACCTCAAAACAGGAATTTCTTAAAACTTTTGTGTCAAATTATGTTTCAGGTTTAAAATACTGACAAGCATCTTAAGAGAAACAGCTCTTTCAGCTACCTAAATTTTAAGGTTCTAGTTCATACTATTCTTTCATCTTCAGCAGTGGACATCTAACACTTCTAAAAGAAACCAAACTTTCCTTAAATTCTTATTTTTTGAGATTTTTTTTCTCTAATGCCTTTGTAACTCTGAAGGTTGCATCTTTCTGAGGACATTATTAGTGTGCTGTGTTAATGATAAACTTCTTTATATGGCGTGCTTCATAAAGGCACAGCCCTTCAGATATTCAGTTTTGAAAACTGATTGATTGCATTACAGTACCCAAACAGCTGAGCTTTGGCCAAATTATTTTTGCATTTGATGCTCATTCCTGTGGGTGAAGTGCCAGCCCAAATGAAGTTTTGGTTCTGTCATTTTGGGAGTGAGAACTCCAGGTTTTTTCTCCCATAAACTGTAATCATTCAGTGAGACACTATATTTGAATTAAAATCTGCTTTCTTTTAAATCATGCTATTTATTCATTCTCTCTTTGCTTCCACATTAATTCTTGTCTTGAATTAGACTTCAATCTGAGCCTGCTTTGTTTCTAGCATGCTTTCTAACTGCAAGCTATTTTCATTCCTCACAAAGAAAATACTCCATTCTAACAAAACTGACCAAAGAGTATCATTTTGTTGTTCCTCAGTCATAGTAATTGGAATCATGTAAGACAAAATCCCCTCCTCTTTAGTTTGGTGACCAAAAAACTTCACAGGGTGAAATTACAGAATTAGAAGTAATCAATCACTGCTCATTATAGCTTTGTTTTGTGTTATTCTTTATCCTGAAAAAGAGCAAACCAAGAAAACATTGCAGTTATGAAAAATTCTCCTATCCCTGACAGGAAAATGTTATGTAAGAAAATTTGTCTAGTGTTAAATTTATTGTAACTGGATCAGTTATAGCAGAAAGTTAATTTTATCAGATCAACCCTAACGTAATGTCACCTGAGTTTTGTAAAATTCTCCAGTTAAGTCTCTTGTCTTGCCAAATTCAATGTCCTGTAGTTCAGAACATAATTTCTCGTTTGACACAGAAATTCTTTATCCTTTTAGGACTGTAAGTGTAATATTGTCAGATATGGAGAAGTTTATGTGTTAATGTAAAGGATAACATCCAAATAACTGATACGATGACAAGACAAGCTTAAACGTGTTTTTCTTACATCTGTTTTATATGTATGCAAACATTAAAGCGTCTCTGTAATATCAGACTGCGTTCATTAACTAAAGCTTAACAATTGATAGTTCGTTAAGAACTTACTGTAGGAGAATGGATTGAGCCTAAAACAAGTTATTTGCACTTTTAAAAGTGTCTTTCACAATGTTCAGATTTCTAATATTCGTTGCTTTTCCTTCTTTCTGCAGATGGCCCTCCGGTCGTAGCTCACTATGATATATCGGACACAAACTCAGACCCAGAAGTGGTCAATGTGGACAGTCTGCTGGCGGCTGCAGTAGTTCAAGAGCACAGTAATTCTGTAGCAAAACAAGACACAGGATCTACCTGGACAACCAGAGGGCTGCTAGATGAGCTGAGCACTGATACAGGTTTGTGTGAGTTCTCCTCCTCGGATGTTTCTGCCAGCCTCTGAGCTGGTGTCCTGCCTTCCTTCCTTTCAGGGCTTTGGTGATTTATGTGGCTTTAAAAGCACCTCCTGTGGATTATACAATGAAACAGTTTAGGTGTTTATAAAAGTGTCTGACACTTATCCCATTATATAGCTGATAAGAACTGACAAAAACTCCTGCAATGTGTTTTTGCCCCACCACTCCCTTTTATTTCCCCTTTTTTTTTATTCCT